CAAAGCAAGTCAGCAGATGAATGGCTGAGTGGAATGTGGTTTACACACCTGATGGAGTATTATTTAGTCCCTAAAAAGAAGGAAATTCTTCAGTGCTACAACATGGATGGGTCTTGAGGACTTTATGCTAAGTAAAATCAGGCAGTCCCCAAAGGGTAAATAGTGTGTAATCTACTTATATGAGGCATGTAGAGTAGTCAGTCTCATAGAGACGGAAAGTCGAATCGTGTTGCCAGGGGCCGGGGGAGAGGAGGGCATGGGGAGGTTAGTGTTTAATGGGTGCAGAGTGTCCGTTTTACAAGATAAAAAGGTTCTGAGGGTGGATGGTGGTGATGGTTGCTCAGCATTATGAATTACTACAAATTATTAATGATCTATCAAATTATAGTATTAAATTCTATTACTTTAATCATTTAAAAAAACTTTTTAATGTTTATTTATTTTTGAGAGAGAGAGAATGAAAGCAGGGGAGGGGCAGAGAGAGTGGGGGAGACAGAGGATCCAAAGTGGTCTCTGTGCTGACAGGAGAGAGCCAGATGTGGGGCTTGAACTCGCGAACCATGAGATCATGACCCGAGCCAAAGTTAGACACTTAACCGACTGAGCCACCAGGCGCCTCATATATTAATTATTAATACCACTGAACTGTACAGTTAAAATGGTTAAGATGGCAAGTTTTATGTGTATTTTACCCCAATTTAAAAAAAGATTTAAAAGAAATATAGCCATAGCCATGACCTCAAGCTGCTCGCTATCTCAGGTTTAACATTGCCAAAAAGTGTGAAAGTGGAGAGAAGTGTGCGTACTCTTCAAGCTTGTAGGCCTGTGACAGACTATTCTGGATGAGGTGGATATGTATGACTTTCTACTTTAGCTGTTAGTGAGGACAGAGCACAGCTTGCTGCGAAACTTCATTCCCAAGGCCTGCGTTAGTTGAACTACTACTGTCTTTCCAAAGGTCAGTTTAAAGCGTTTGTTCCTAACGCAACTAGAAATCTCACACCATCACCAACACAGCTCGACCCGCCCAGTATGCATTTGTTCACACTCGGTGACGTGTGTGACGAAAGGGTTTAGACACCCATGATTGAGATGGGGTCTCTGAGGCCTGGCTGGGGACACAACCAAAAGCCGGGAACTCAGAAGAACAGAGAGAAGGTGTTTTTAGCCCTGGGGGCAGCCTGGGGGAGGCTCCCGCGGTAGCAGTGGTTGTCGGCCGGTTGGGCACCAGCCACGGATCATCACCGGGAACTCCTTAAAAACCCAGTCGTCCTTCTGTGCCCGGACAGCAGACTGTCTGTGATTCTCCAAACGCACCTGTTTAGCCAGAAAATCTGAGCCTGGAGCCCAGCAACTGTACTGAAACAGGCCTCCAGGTGACTAGAGCTCAAGTTTGAGAACCGGGTGCTGGCGAGGGAGCCCTAGTGTCAGGGCCGAGGAGGTGGCCGACCCAATCCGCCTGGACGCGGAGGCCCGGCCCACCCAGCAGACAGCTTCCAAGGCACATGGAGAGGCAGAAGGGCTCGCTCAGATGCTGTGCTTGGTCAACTAGCACTTTGCCATAATGTGAGCACAGGCAAGAATTTTCTAGATGGGAGACCGATTGGGCTGGGTCCCGCAGGGACTTGTCACTAGGGAAGGAATTTGGGTTCTACCCTCCAGGCATCTGAGACCCATTGGAAAGGTGTAAGCAAAGGACACACACGGTCAAATGAGGCACTTAGGGAGATGGCTGTGGGGACAGTAAAGGCAAAGGGACATGCTGGGGAGAGACCAAAGGCCGGCAGGCTGCGGGAAATCCGGGCAAGAGCGAGGGGGACCCAGATGGAGGCATCAACCCCAGGGACGGAATGTGACGGGAGCTACTGACCAGTCCTCTTCCTGCCCACGGCCGCCACGACCTGGCCTCAGCTCTGACCCTGGGCATCCCCGACGGCTTTCCAGTGATCTCAGTCTGACTTCCAGACTCTGTGATGGCATCCAGATCCCCGTTCAGAACACCAGGTGGACTGCATTCCCCCTGGCTGCTCTTTATTTCTTAGAAACGAAACCCAAACCCTCAGCTAGACCAGAAGAGGCTCCTGCTGGCTGGCCCCTGCCTCACTGCTCCCCTCATGCAGCCTCCCTTGCAGGGGCCCTCTCCGGCCCGCCAGCCCCACAAACGCTCTCTTAGACCCCGCTCCCCAGCTGCTTGTCCAAGGTGCGTGCACCGCTCCTTTCCTGAGAGCCCTCTCTGACCACGTCCCCGGTCCCTGGACTGGTTCCAACACGATCCACCATTCACACTGCTCGTCTCCACATGATTTTCTTCTGGCTTAAACGTTCCAGGTGCACGTGGCTTCTTTCCCCGGCTGAGCCTTGGGCTTCTAGAGAACATCTTTCCTTTCCTTTTGTGCCTCCTGCTAGCTCCAGCAGGTGGTGAAAGCCCAATGAAAATGCTCCTTGAACTAGTGAAGGCTTTGGGGACAGATGATTCAGGACTGAAAGGGAAGCTATAATCCCCTGATGTTTACAGTTGGGGCTTTCTTTGTTGTTGTTTTTCTTACTATTGTGTTCCTGTCAGAGGTCACAGCTTCAAAGGCGCAGTAAGAAATCAGTCCGATCCAGGATTCCCAATCGTGAAAAAGGAAAACTTTTCCTTAAGCATCTCTCCTGGGCCCTCAGGACCGTGAATAAGGCTGTTTCAAAGAGGACCCCCATCGGCCCTGACCGTGGACATGTTGGCCAGAGATGACAGGGAGGCTTGTGGCCTGCGGCCAGCGCCCCAGGGAGCTCCTTGGGTGATGTGAAGGTGTGTCGTGCTCTGAGCTAGGAGCAGGTAAATTGAAATGACTTCCGGTTTTTCTGAACTCGGACAAGACAGGCTCGCGTCCCTCTAGAGTTGGTGGACACCTGCTACAGTCAGGTGTAGTGATGTCTCTTGTTCCTGCTCATGAGGGAGGGACACTGGTGCGTGAGGGAGACCCTTGTGTGGAAGCCCAGAGTCCACAGTGCCCGGTGGTAAAGGATGGTGATCCGTATCAGCTTGCAGACAGCTTTCGTAACAGGGCAGTGTCGGCAGAGGTTTCTGGGACGGGTTTATGGAAAACAGGAACGGGCGCGTTTCCTAATTTATTTTCTTCTGTGTTGGTTGCTTTTCGTGCACCGTAGGAAGGTCGCCCAGCCTGGGGGAGCCAGTGTGTCCCCAGGGCCTGTGACCGCGGAGTCTTGCGGACCGCTGGAGACTGGCCTCCCCTTCCTGCTGTCCTCTGGGCCAGGCCCGACTCCTGGGACCAGGCAGTTGGCGGTCGGAGGTCTCCAGACCCGCAGCGTCCTGTTAGCTTTGTGCACTTGATGTTGGCCGCTCCTTTCGAAAGCTTGCCCTCCTCGCTTCCTGCTTCTATCCTCCCAGCCTGGCCTGCCTTCTTCTTCTCGTGCAGGCCTCTCAGTGGGAATGGTCCCCAGGGTTCTGTCCTTGGGCCACTGCTGTCTGTGTGCCTCCGTGTGCCGTGTCCCCGTCCTCAGATGCCTCCCGTCTGAGGACGGCATATCCTCCCGGCCTGTCGGGCGTCCCCCCGGAAACTCTGGCTTGTTTCTGTCCGAAACACGCCGTGCGGCAGCTCCCTTGTCCGTCACCAGGTCCCCGGCCACCCCCCAGATCTCCTCCATCTGCTCCCTGCTTCCCACCCCTGTTCTCTGTTCTCACTCAAGCCTGCAGCTGTTATTGCTGGGACTAGTAGACGAGCGGTCTTCCTGATCTTTCTTTCTGCAGCTCACACGACACCTACACACATACGTGTAAGGGCCTGGAAGGGTGGCTTACAACAGACACCTGTTTCCTCAGTCCCGGAGGCTGCAAACCCAAGATCAAGTTGTCCGCACATTCGGCTCGTGGTGAGGGCCGGCTTCCTGGCTCGCGGTCATCTTGCTGTGTGTGCTCACGTGGCCTGGCCCCGGTGCATGTGAGCAGAGGCTCAGAGAGTGGTCGCTGTTCCTCTTTTCATGAGGGCACTCCTCCCATCATGGAGGCCACCTCAGCACCTCACTGAAAACTAATTACCTCCCGGAGGCCCCGCCTCCTAAAACCATCACACTGGGGGCTAGAACTTCAGCCTAGGGATTCTGGAAGGACACAGACATTCAGTCCATCACATACACACAGGAACACGGTCAGCCATACTCCAAACACCACACACACAGGTCTGCCAAGTCCTTTTTCCAGGGCAAAATCCAAACCCCATGACCTGAAATTCAGGGCCTGAGCTACCTCGCAGGGCCACCAGAGCCCCACCTTCCCGTCACCTTCCAGGCGTCTCTCTTGCCCGGTCCCCAGCGAAGCACCCCCCCACACACACCGTCCTTCCTTATTCAGCTCTGTGCCTGTCTCAGTTTCAGAGGCGCACAAAGTTCTACGTTCTGTGAGGACGAGGACGAGAGTTCTCTCATTTCTTTATGCTCTAAAGCAAGGACAGCATGGTGTCTTGCAATATGCATTTGTTGGATGAATTAATTCCCATCCCAGCAGGTCCTGGGGTGGAAGACGCAGGCCGGGGTTAGCTCCACGCCTCGCAGGGCTCTGAGCAGTCCCCAGCCAGCCTGTCGGGTCCAGGCTCCCGTCATGCCACCCGTGAAGAGCAATCACCCACTGTGGCACCTGAGTGAGACCTGCCCGCTTCAGCGTGGTGTTCTCTAGAATGCCGCATGGGAGGGGCGCCTCCGTGGCTCAGTCGGTCAAGCGTCCGACTCAGGATTTTGGCTGAGGTCATCACGTCATGGTTTGTGAGTTCAAGCCCCGCGTTGGGCTCTGTTCTGACGGTGCCGAACCTGCTTGGATTCTGTCTCCCTCTCTCCCTGCCCCTCCCCTGCTCATGCTCACTCGCTGTCTCTCAAAAAAATATACACATGTATTAAAACAAAATTTAGGATGCTGTATATGATAGGCCAGAAAAGGGGGTGAGGCATCCTGTTAAAGCTGTCACAGTCTGACTCTGCACCCCGAGACCTCGCTCATCCTTAGGCACTGGGACGCCGCGTCCACTGCTCTACAGAAGGAGCGGGAAGCCTCCAGCCGAGGCCAGCTGCTGCTGCAGGAGGCCGACCTGTCTGCCCTCCGCCTCCTGGAAGCCCTCCTGCAGACCGGGCCCCACCTGCTCCTCCAGACACATGTTTTCCTCGCCTCGGACTTCACAGATGTTGTGCCAGGTGAGACACGTCCAACCCCGAGCGCAGACCCCCCGAGACTTCCCCAGGGGAGTTACAACGGACGCCTTACTTAGAAAAAACTTGCAACCCAAGATCGGCCCCTGCTTGGGAGGATTAGGGCCGCCCATGCTCCCTGGCATGAGATGGCAGCTAAAACAGGTGTCTGTTTGAGGTTGGCTTCCTTCGTGGGGTCAGTCCACAAGGCAGAAATTGCGCGAAGTCACATGACCCGGACGTGCCTTGGGAAGGAACCACACGCTGCTCCTCAGGGGCATCAGTGCCTCAGCGTCTCCCGTGTCCTCAGGCCCTGGCCTAGCTTGACACAGCCAGAGGCCTAACCGTCCAAGAACAAGTCTGGCCCACGAAACGTCACCAGTGTCACCAGTTAACGTTTTCTGTGGCGTCGGCTCTCTCTCTCTCTCTTTTTCTCCTGGTCACTTCTTGATTCTCTGCCAGCCTCCTCCACCTCCTCCCTCTTTGCCGAGCGCCCACATTTGTATGTGCTCATACGAAGTACCTAAAACTCAAGACTGTGCCGTCCTTCCGTCCATCTTTATCGTGGGGCCTGGCACGAGTTGTGTTCTGGCTTTATTTCTCTAACCCCCCACATGAAGGAACACTGGCTACAAGAAAACACTCCCCACACGTGTTGCGCACGCCTGTCACGCTGCCAAAAGCTGGGACCAGAGAGAGTTTTCCCAGCAAAGTACGTTTGGGATGGAGCTCCCTGCTCAGAAATTCTCCTACAGCTGCTTCGTTACCAACAGAGCTTGGACGGAGGGCTGCAAGGGTCAGTGGCCCGGGCTCTTTTCTTAAAGGGCTTAGAAAGGAAGGGCCCGAGGAAAGAGCACGCACTGGGCTGTGCAGAGGAACCAGAGGAACCGCCTCCCGCGCGTCCTCATTTCTTCCTGGGCGTGTGTGCTCGTGTCTGTGCACAGAGTTGCCGCGCTCCCCGCCCATCCGGGTGCTGGGTTCGGGATGCCCCGTGAGCAGCCGGGCTGTATGGGGACGTGAGACGGCCCACAAATACTGTTGTTGTCCGCTTGCCTTCCAGGCGTGAGCGCCCTGTGCTCCTGGTCTGCGCTGTCCTGGGCCCTGGTGTGCTATGCCTGCTTCATGGGCTTCGTGAAGCCGGGTCACGTCTTCACATCGTGGGCCGCCCTGCTCTGCCAGCAGCTCTGGAGGATGGGCATGGTGGGAGCCCGCGTCCTGAGTCTGGTTCTCTTCTTCGGAGCTCACCGCGTCTGGGTTTTAGTGTTTGGAGGTAAGCAGGGCGAATGCTGTGGCTGGCTGTTGCTGTGTGTAACAGACCACCCCGGAACATAATGCCTTTTGGTTTTTTAAATTTTTTTTGGATGCATTTTATTTTATCCCCCACCATTTATTTTTTATTTATTTATTTATTTGTTTGTTTATTTATTTATTTTAATTTAAATCCAAGTTAACATGTAGTGTAATAATGATTTCAGGAATAGAATTTCGTGATTCATCACTTACATATAAAGAACTTAATGCCTTAAAGTAACCATTCACGACCATCATCCCCGGTTCTGGGGGGCCCCGCTGGGCACCTGGGGGGTTCTTGCTCGGGGGGGGCCTCAGGTGGGTGCTGTAGGATTCATAACGAGGCTCCACTGGGCTGGCCGCACAGACGGTGGTCTCGCTCCCACGGTGGGTGCCCGCATGCCCTTTCTCTCCAGCAGAGCGGCCTGGGCTGTGGACAGGGTGGCGGTTCCAAGAGAAAGCAGAGGGAAGCTGCCAGTCCCCTTAAGACCGGCCGAGCGCTGGATCAGCACGGCTTCTGCTGTATTCTGCCCGTCAAAGTAGTCATGGCCAGCCTAGAGTCAAGAGCACGGAGGAGTAGACTCCACCCCCCGTGAGGGTACGGGGAGGGGGCCGCATATGGCGCTTCTCTCTGGAGACACGCTCCCATGGCTTAGATAGCCCAGTCTTCAGCCCGGCCAGCTCCAGACCACAGCTGCAGCCGCTGTGAGAGCTCCTCGAAAGACCATGTCCTGTATCACGCCTGAGATCTTTTCTGTAGAAAAACCGGAGGGAGGCATAGGGTCCCGCTTGTCCTGACCTAACACAAAAATGTACAGTGCCCAGCTTCTGACAGCCCTCCGTTTCTTCTGAATGCTGATTTTGGACATCTTCTCTGTTTCAAATAGGGCATCTCCACTGAGCCCACCTGTCACCCCCCGCCCTCAGTCTAGGTACGTGGATGTGAGAGTGACTATGGGGTCTGCCTGACCCTGCGGGAGCCCTGCGGGGATCTCGGTGTCCCCACCAAGCAGAGGTATCTCTTCTGGCCATCAGGCAATGCACTCTGTAAGAAGGAACAGTGTACTCATGTTTTAAGAGAACAGGAGACACTGACAGATATTTACACTGAAGCCTGGAACAAACATTAATACACTGTTGGCAGGAAGGAGAAATTTTTGAAAGAAATTGTGCTCCTAAAGAGAGATGAGCTTTTTTATTCATTTTTTTTTAAACAAATTCAGCTCAAACTTCAGTAAGATATTATTCATCTTAAAATAGGGGAATAAAAATTATAGCTGGACCACATACAGATCTTTCCTTTGGATGCAGATGTTTTCAGCTCTTGAACTAGTAAACAATAGTGAGCCAGGGGTGCCTGGGTGGCTCATCAGTTGGTTAAGCAGCCAACTATGGCTCAGGCCCTGATCTCACAGTTCCTGAGTTCAAGCCCCCATCAGGTGAGCACGAGACCCACTTCTGTCTCTCTCTCCCTCTCTCTCTGCCTCTCGCTCACTTGCACCCTCTCTCAAAAAAAAAAAAAAAAATTGTGAGCCATGAGGTTCGTAACAGCCTCCTTAGGCACCTCCTGGAACTGGAAGAGAGTTAGTACATAGTGTTTGGGAAGTGTCCTTGAAGCTAGCCTTTGTGTGCTTGTCCCCAAATTAGTTCAACTACCTTTTATGAGGATCAGATGAGATACTACGGGCAAAGAGAAAAGCTGCTGGTTTTCTGTGCCCTGTGAATCTCTCCTGGGTTTTGATCTCTCCTCTGGGATGCTGAGTCAGGTGTGGTCAGGACAGAGAGGATGGCTCCGAGCCCCGGGTCTCCATGTCCGTGCCCCTCCCCCTCCCCAGGTCCCCTCCGGGACCCTGACTTCCACGGCCTGCCTCCCTCCAGGTGCCCACTGGCTGGTGATGACCTTCTGGCTTGTGGCACAGCAGAGTGACATCATCGACAGCACCTGCCATTGGAGACTGTTCAACCTGCTCGTGGGGGCCGCGTACATCCTCTGCTACCTCAACTTCTGGGACAGCCCTTCCAGAAACCGGATGGCCATGTTCTATACGGCAAGTGGGGCAATGATGGCTTTCTTTACTGCTAATGTTACAAATTTCATATGTATAGAGTGCACGCGGGTGTAAGTGTGTGCATGCAGGCGTGTGTGTACTTGTGCACGCACATCTATTGAAGGAAGAATAGCTTGGTCTTAGGAAAAATTCTAAAAGGAATCACTGTTGTGACAGTGACAGGCTCTATAAATTGCAATCTGACCTCCGGTTTTTCCTACGTGGTTAATGTAGTAAGAACTGTGTTTTTTGGACACTGTCTATATCTGATAACTATAATCACAGCTCACCTATGTCAATGTCATATACACAGCGTCCTACTAGCTCTGTCATTACTGAGTTCCAGGAGTGTTCCTAGGACGGTGGGAAAACCACGACGGTGACAGAATGCCTGTCATTGGGCTGCTTCTAGCCCAGTAGGGGGGATGGGCTCCATTCCCAAATAACTGAACGACGAGGCAGAATGTGGGTAAATCCCGGAAGACCAGCAGTCTGAACTCACGAGTATGGTGGGGATCACTTCCTGTTGGATGAGCAGAGGCGCCCTTTCTAGAAGGTGGAAGTTTAGCTGCATTGCAAAGAGCAACGGAGAGAAAATGCGGCCAGCGCCTCAGAGCACCGGTTTTGGAATCAGGCACTTTCTGTGGGACCGTGGTTCTCCATTTACTGTCACCAACCCACTTGGCCAAGGATTGAAACGCCCTGAGTCTGTTTTTCCATCGCACATTAGGAGCAAGGTCTCTCAGCGTGGCTGTGATAATTTTATAAGATCCACCCACTTCTCAGGGCCCCCAGTGAAGATTAAATACATAACCTGGCACCGAATAACCAACACGTCGTGGCCATTATTGATGATAGAAAGGGAAAGAGACTTTCAGGGGAGCAGACCCTCTAGGACGGAGCTGTGAGCACATAGAAGGTGTCCAGGAGACAGCGGTGGTGTGGTCACCTCCTGCTATTAGGGGAGCCCCGCACGGCTTATCAGCCCTGCAGGCTATGGGGTCCACAGACGGTGAGGATGCGTGGTGCTGGACAAGTTACAGAGCCGCTCCAGGCCTCGACCTCCCCGTCTGAGAACCAGGAATAACGGTACCCATGTCGCTGTGCGGGAAGAGGGCGGGTGTGCAGAGCAGTCCATGCCCCTGTGGGTGTGGCCGATAAGCTGGAAGCATCCAGAGAGAGGTCACTTTCGTGGCTGTGTCACAGTCACACCTTCGCCAGCCTAGCCCCTGGAGTCTGAGAGACTGCTATGTAAGGAAGGGAAAGGAAAACTCAGTCCTTCCCAGCCCACTTACTTACTCCGTCACTGGGCCCGCAGACAAGGGCAATTAAGCGGGAAAGACAGAAGGTGGACAGTCCTGAGGTGCACATGTATTTATTGTCCAGCCCTCTTGCTCTGCCTCACAGACCTCTGCAGGCTTATCACAGCTAGGGACTCCACCCACGGAGGTGACCAGGCACGTCCAGGGCCACAGGCTGGCCAGCGAGGTTGCCCAGGCCGCGCCCTGATCCCTGGGCGTCTGGTCCCAGCCTCCTGCCAACACCCCTCAAATGTCAGGCCTGCCATCTGTCCTTTCTTGGACCGCCTTCCCCAACAGGCGCCTTCCTGGGAAAGAGACGTGGGTCCTGGCCCCCACAGAATGTCACTCCTTTGGGGTAAAGTGCAGTGTCGGCAAAGAGAATGTTAATGCTGCCTCCTCGTCTGTTGTTATTCCAAAAGCCAAAAGAGTACAGAGTACTTGGAAGTCCACTTGCTAAGGGGGGGTGGGCCTAGGGGCTTGGGGTAGCTCTGGTTTTCAATGGCTAATGGCTTTGCTTAAATCATGGAAAGCTGTCTCCAAGGTCAAGGCAGGAACTTCTACAATTCTTCTCTCATTGATTCGCTCAACAAGAGTACGAAGCATTTGTAATCTTGTAGGTTCTGTGCCACGATGTGTTCCTGTCCCCGTGACCTCCTGTTCTCATCTTCCAACCCTGGGAATCGTAACGGAATCCTTAGGAATAGCTAACGGTTCGGGCAGGATCATCCTGCACCAGCCACTGTTCTAAGCTCATTAACTGTCTTTATTTCTCACAACGCCGGATGAACCGAAACCCATTTTACAGATGCAGAAACTGAGGCATAGAATGGCCAGGCATCTAGTCAGACAGAGGCAGGATTCAAATCCAGCTGGTCTGCTGCTACAAGGCCAGCTGTGGCCGGGCAGGGCAGCCAGGAGCGTTTGAGCTGGAAAGGCCTCGGGCCTCTGTGCGACCCGTTCTCAGCCTGGGCGATTGTCACATGCACTCAGGGAGCCTCTTCGAGGTAGATTCCCAGGTGCCTTGTCAGCGATTCCAGCCAACAGGTGTGAGTGGGGCCCTGGAATCAGCGTTTGAGAAGCCGCATCACGTGGTGCTGATGTTCGGTGTCATCGAGAACCATTCACCTTAACTTCTCCCTCACAAGGTGGAAGCCAGTCCCTGGGTGACATGTGATGGGGAAGCCAGGTTTGCCCTGGTTCATGTGTCATCGATTCGCTCACCTGAGCCTGCACACGCGGCTTCCTCCGTGCGCCAGAAATGGATTCAGATGCCGGGGTGTGCAAAAGTCAACTCTCCGCGGCCAGAGACACAGACCCGTGAACGCAACCACGGGGGCCAGAGAAATGACGTTACCAGACCCCCTCAGGAGTACAGAGGCTGAGAGAGGAATGCCAGAGAGGCTGTACAAGAGGTGACCTTCGAGCCGGGTCTCGGGAGATGAACGTGGCCTGAAGAAAAGGCAGTGAGGGCTCAGGAGCATTTGAGGCAAATGCGACAGAAGCAAAATAAAGTGTCAGGGACATACGTATGGTGGTGTGGAAGAAACTAGTTAATGCAGCGAGGGGCGCCTGGGGGGCTCCGTCGGTTAAGCGTCCGACTCTGGCTCAGGTCATGATCTCACTGTTTGTGAGTTCGAGCCCTGCGTCGGGCTCTGTGGGGACAGCTCGGAGCCTGGAGCCTGCTTTGGATTCTGTGTCTCCCTCTCTCTCTGCCCCTCCCCTGCTCGTGCTCTCTCTCTCTCTCCAAAATAAATCAATATTTTTAAAAATTAAAAAGTAAATAAAGGCAACGAAAATAGAGCTAATGAAGTCCACCGCAACAGGGAAGAGGGTCCAGCATGAACCCACCTCAGTCCGTTTGTGCAGACGCGACTGCGCATTTTAAAGGGAAGATGGGGACACGGAGGGGCCGTTTGAGCAGGGTCAGGGGAAAGGAAATTTATCAAAGGTGGGAGAGAGGTGGTTAATGGGACTGTGACATCTGGTTTTCTGGTTGGCGTTTATCTGGCGGAGGCGCCGATTTCTCGTATCTGGATGACAGAAAGCTGTAGTTCATGCAAGTTAGAGTGAGCCCCGCCCTGCCCCCATGCCCCTGGGGGGCCTGGAGGGTGATCTTGAATGTTCAAGGCTCAAAGAAACCGTCCTTCTGGATTGCAGACGATTTACACCTCAGAGACACAGACAAAGGATTTGTATGCTGAAGCTTGCTTGCTTGCTTTTTTTTTTAATTTGAGAGAGACAGAGCCAGCCTGAGCAGGGGAGGGGCAGAGAAAGAGAGAGAGAGAGAGAGAGAGAGAATCCCAAGCAGGCTCCACACTGTCAGCTCAGAGCCTGAGGCGGGGCTTGAATTCACAAAACAGTAGGATCACGACCGGAGCCGAAAACAAGAGCCAGATGCTCAACTGACTGAGCCACCCAGGCGCCCCTGCACTTACAAGCTTTATAAAGCAACAGGTCCAAGAGGGGGTTCAGGGGCTACCAGCCTTTCACCAGATTTCAGCTGGAACGAAGAGGAAGTCTTCCAAGCAGCATTGCTTCCTTGGGCAGAAACGGGACTAGGGCCAAGGTCCTCACCCTCGGGACACAGCCTTGAGGGGCTAGGAACTGTGTTAGTGTTCATTCAGGTCTCTCAACATGTGTGTTGGGGGAGGGCGGGGGGAGGGGAGCAGTGATGGACAGAAGCATTTGTTCTACGTGTCTGCAACTTTCATCGGCCCAGCTTGAGGCCTGGTCAAGGAGAGGGCTTAGAGATGCGGATCTGCGTCAGGTTTGGTCAAGGAGAGAGTCTATGTCAGCGGAATGGCATCATATCAGTCAGGGTTCTCCAGAGAAACAGAACCCGGAGGACACGCAGAGACACATAAGAGGAGATTTATTATGGGGATTGGCGTATGCAATTTTGGAGGCTGAGATAGGACATGGTATGCCTTCTAGAAGCCAGAGAACCAGGAAAATGTTGTGTAATTCAGTCTGAGTCCAGAGGACTGAGCACTGGGAGCTCCCACGTCCCAGGACAGGAGGTCAGCTCAAGAAGATGGAGGATTTACTCTTCCTCCACTTTGTCTTATATTGGGAACCCCCCCCCCACACACACAGATTGCATGGGGCCCACCTGCACTGCTGAGGGTCCTGGTCTTTACTCAGTGTACTGATTCAAACGCTAACCTCTTCTGGAAATGCCCTCACGGACACACTCCGGAATACTGTTTTACCGTCCGGGCATCCAAACAGCATCCAGGCAGGCTGGCCCATCACATCTGCCATTACGGTCTCCCGTAATGGCCATCACATCTCCCACCATGTGGTGGGAACCGCATGTTGGAGGGTTACTCTGGAAAGGAAACTTCGGGATGCGCTATAAACAGAATCGCCCACACTGTCAGGGAATGGGGTCTCGATGGCCCTGGGTTGAGATGGGGCTGTCTCGAGGTGTGTTGGGGAAGATGACAAGGTCTGCTCTGTAGGTGAAACAGATCGCCCGGCAGCGGTGTGGAGGAGTGATTGTGGACAGGGAACAAAGGACCCGGACAGGAAACCATAGGACCCGGATAGGTAGTGACAGGATCACAACTATGAAGGTGGCAGTGAGGATAGGCAAAACGGCAATGAATTTGAGACAGACATAAGAATTTGGCTCCACAGACCAGATAGCTGATGAGACGTGGTTAATGTAAGGAGCAGAGAGAGACAGACCCCACGGTCTGTGGACTGGGCTGGTGGGTAATGTCATTCAATGCTGCAATATGCCTGCTGGACCTTTGAAACACTGCTGCCCAGAGCCTAAAGGCCTGGGGAGAGTGGGCATTCTTAGGATTGTTAAGTAGCTCTTAATAACATTTTTAGTTCTTTCCATATTTGACTTTCCTGGAGTTAAAATGGGGCCCATGAATGAGCATGGCAAAGATTCCTAAGACTTTTGGGCCTACCAGTATTAGAATTTCTTAATTTCTTAATGCCTCCTGTATAGTATGGGAATGTATCATCTTCTAATTATGTCCAGTTTGTTTACTTATTTTAAGAAATATATTTAATATATATATTATATAAATAGGGGCGCCTGGGTGGCGCAGTCAGTTAAGCATCCGACTTCAGCCAGGTCACGATCTCGCGGTCCGTGAGTTGACCTTGTCGAGCTCTGGAGAGCTGATAGCTGGAGCCTGGACCTGTTCCAAAATTCTACTCCCTCTCTGCCTCCCGTTCATGCTCTGTCTCTGTCCCAAAAATAAATAAACGTTGAAAAAAAAAAATTTATATTATATAAATATATTTAATATATAATATAAAGAATATAATATATATAAAGAAATATTTAATATAATATATAATATATAAAACTGGCAACCAAAGTTAAGAGGCCAGCCTGGATGGGGGGGTACAAAGAGCCTTCTGCAAGAGTGGCCGCCATTTTGGGTCATGAGGCTTTCCTTGCTGTTCCCTTGGGCCACACAGGCCAAATTTACCTCTAAAGAGGCAAATAATTGAACAAACAATACTAACACTCTTATCAAAGTTTGTGACCTAGCTTACTGGAATTTGATGGCACTATGAGCTCTCTTGGATACTTTTATTTTTTTTTAATTTTTTTTTTTCAACGTTTATTTATTTTGGGACAGAGAGACAGAGCATGAACGGGAGGGTGAGAGAGGGGAGACGACCGGGAAACAGGTCTAGGTCAGGCTGTTATCAGGCTCCAGAGCCATCAGCCCAAGCCCGGCGGGTCAACTGAACCGACCGTGAGATGCGTGACCTGGCTGAAGTCGGACGCTTAACCGACTGCGCCACCCAGGCGCCCCTCTGCGGATACTTTTATTTATTGCGTGATAAAACTCAGATACACATGCACTTAGCGTAAGAACATGAAATGTATAAAACTGGAAATAAAAGTCTCCTCCCTCAGCCCACCTGACTCAGCGGAGGGAGCCACCGTGGCCACGTGGGCTATGCCCTTACCTTGCACGTGCACTTACGATTCTGCAGACATTTTAATGAGCTGCATTGAAAACAGGGAGAATTCCCCCTTTGCCAGAGAAGCTCTCTCAGACCTTGACCCTGCTTCTGTTGGGAGGGGGTGGCCTGGTCAGCTGTGGGGACCCCAGTGGACATTGAGGACAGAGGCTCCAACACTGAAGGACACTGCTGCAGAGTTTAGGGTGAGCGTCCCAGAGGCCACGTGCACCTGACTTTCGGTGCCGACTCTACCTTTCGGTCCCACAGATTATGCTGCTGGAGAACATCGTCCTTTTGCTGTTGGCCACTGACTTTCTCCAGGGGGCCTCCCGGACCAGCCTGTGGACCATAGCTGGAGTCTTGTCTGGATTTCTGATCGGTAAGGCCCCACGTTGCCCTCTCGTACCCTCCCTCCCCGCCCCCAACTTTTTCCTTTACCATAAACTGACTCCAAGGGCAGGAAGTGATGCTCAGGAGCGTGAGGTGGAGACCACGGAGTGGAGCTCACTGTGCCTCCGGTTGTGCCCCCACCAGGGCCCCAGACACTGAATGCGGCCTTCATCCAGAACCCGAGAAAATCCGGACCCACACTGTGTACTTCTATCAAAAATGACTCGTGGGCGGGGCCTCCTCCCCAGGCTTCTGGCTGGGGTCCAGCACGTGACTTCCCTCTCCTTTCCACCTCAGCATCCCAGCATCGGGGAGCAGAGCAGGGATCCCCAACATGACGCCCCGTGCTGTATGCCAACAGGAACCCTAGGACGTGGGTGCTGAGTTACCCCCAATTCAGAGCTGAGCAGCGTGGCACAGAGGAAGTTAAATAATGTGCCGTAAGATCAGACACGGTGTAGGTGGCGGAGCTGGGACTCACACCCTACTCCCATCTGGCGTCTACACGGTGCCTGGCAGTTTCAGATCATCAGCTTGGTTTTGTGAATGAGTGTCTGACTCAGAGCACGCCGTGCCTGCCGCGTTAACCTGGCTTCACAGATGGCCGTGAGCTGGAAAGGGAGTTCCTGTCTGCTTTTGGGAAGTGAAAATAAAGGAGGGAGGGAGGAAAGGTGTTTTCATTCACAGCGTGGTGACCCAGGGCACAGTGACTGGGGAGCTGGGGACAAGGGTCAGCCCCGGGGCTCAGACAGAGACACCTGCCGATCCTTCTCCCCCTCTTTCCGGAGCTGCCCGAACCCCTGACTCCCAAGTGGCCCCAGAGGGCGTCCTCAGTGGGAAGATGGTGAGTGAGCTCTAGTCAAAGGCACACAGGCTTTATAAACCGTTTTTTTTTTTTTTAACGTATGTTTATTTATTTATTTATTTTTGAGAGAGAGAGTGCGAGCAGGGGAGGGACAGAAAGCAAGGGAGACACAGATCAAGCAGGCTCCAGGCTCTGAGCTCTCAGCACAGAGCCCGACGCGGGGCTTGAACTCACAAACTGTGAGATCATGACCTGAGGCGAAGTCAGACGCTCAACCGACTGAGCCAGCCAAAGGCACACAGGCTTTGAAGCTGGCAGCGCTGGGTCACATCTTGAGCGCCCTTGACCAACATTTATTGAGCTCCTACTGTATGCCAACCTGGGGCCGCAACCCAGAACCCTGTGCATGACATGGCCTGGCCAAAAGGCTACCCATGAAACGTGTACTTTGGACTTGGCTGATGAGGGGACTTACTTCCCCTTTCTGACCTTGGGTGGCTCATCATAAAAGAAGGGTGACCTCTCCCCCACCAGCATCGTGAGAACTCAGAATAGCGGGTAGAAGTGGGTTGAGGGGTGCCCACGGCAGAGCCAACACTCACCCCACGGGAATGCTGTCTCCGTTCCCCCGCAGGAGGCCCGCTTTGTTACCCCCCCACGCCTCATCCCCCAGAAGTCCTCGGGGAGAATCCACGGGACCACGTGTCAGCCCCACCTCCACCCCCAGCTCCATCACCCTGCCGTCCGCCAGCCCCTCCGGGGCTTTGACCCCCCGCTCCGGCTTCAGACTTCTTGCTGTTTATAATGAGTGCCCTGAAACCGGGCGCTTGATCTAGTACAACAGGAAACTGGAAATAACGTGGGAGGCTACTGGAATGCTCTGCTAAAGAAATTATTGCCGTCGTCAACACTTCTGATCAAAATAAATCGCGCTGACAACAGTGTGATTAAGATGTTTGTGCACAGAGGAAGTGTTGCTGCTGCTCATGGAAATTCCTTGATACGGGCTCCTTGATGGCTGTGGTCAGCCTTTCCTTGGGGCTTGTTTCTGAGGTTATCCTGACCACCCCCTCCTCGAGCGTTGGAGTCCGTCAGCCGGCGTGTGGATGGTTTTGCCTTCTGAGTATTTGTTCCAGTCACTTGAAAGTGAAATGAGCATTTCTACGAGACACCTCACACGCAGCACAAACACACATAACACACTCGCGTGTCCCCCCCCATCTAGGGTGCCTCGAGAAAGAAGTCATAGAATCAATAGGTTATTGACCTGGCTATTAGGATTTTCGGTTTAGGAATATTTGCAGCTTGCGGAAGCCAGAGCCTACTTAAATGCCCCCAAAATATCCAGATCTGATTCTCCAGCAAGAGATCACGTTTGAGACCCCAATTATATTCCTCTGTCCGGAATTCCAGACTCTGGAATTCTCAAGCCGTGGGGAGGATACAGGACTTCAAAGAACATGACCTTATGTTCCTCTTTTTCTTCTTTTCTAGGCAGTATCTCGCTGGTAGTTTATTACAGCCTGCTACACCCTAAGTCCACAGACATCTGGCAGGGCTTTGTGACAGAGGTCCGTGGCACTGCAGTGGGTGATGGAGCGGAGACAGAATCTTCTCCCCGGGCCTCGGCCGCAGCTGGAGAGAGGCCAGGGAGCCCGGGGGACAGTTGTGAGTTAACACATCTGGGTAGGGCCCCTAGCCCACAGTGGGGACCCCCAGAGGCTGGGCTGGAAAGCCAGATCGTTCAGGAAGATTCCTTCCTCGGTCACCATCACTGGCTATTGGTGAAACTTGCCCTCAAAACAGGAGATGTGTCTAAGATCAACGCAGCCTTCAGAAAAGACGGTCCTGGCTTCTTCGGTCCCCCTGAGTGGGGACTGAGCCAACACCGCAACCATCAGATGACGCCCAGGTTTTCCCAGAAGGAGCTCGCGTCGTCACCCCACGACCCCCTCTCCTCAGACAAGGGCTGTGAGTCTCAAGTTGTCCGGAAAGCAGAGGCCGACCTGCTGGACACCTCAAGCTACGTCTCTTTGGCCGGCGACAATCCAGACGAAGCTCCTGGCCGGCAGTGGTCAGCTGCACCCAGGGAGGGCAGCCCCAGGGAAGGAGCCGAGGCGGTTTCTCCGCTGCAGGGCAGGGGTGCAGGTGACCGGAGAGGAGGGGCAGGACAGGAGAGCTCCACCCTGTACTTTAGTGCCACGGCCGAGGGGGCCACGTCCCCACAGCGGGAAGCCGGGCAGGCGACTTCGCAGACACCCCTGTCTGGGAGGAGTTCGGAGCCCTCCCCTCGGCCGGCCACTCGGCCCTTCCCTGCCACCATGGCCAGCATTAGCCCGATCCTGGGCCCGGGCCGCACCGGCAGCTTCCGCCCCAGCACAGGCTTGCCCGGCAGAGCCCTGGGCGGCTCAGAGCATGGGGGACAGCAGGAGCACATGGGGGACCCGAATCTTCCCACCATTGCGGGGACACGGATGGCATTACCAGAGGTGAGTCTGAGGCCCGCAGACGAGCCTTGCCTCACATCCACCCCCAAGTGTGAGCCTGCCCACGGGGACTGCGGCGGGAGGGCCCAGCCAAGGACCATGCCAAGTTTCTCCATGTGACCGCAGTCCCGGCGGGCAGGGCGACAGGCGGCCGAGTCACGCTGGTCCCTGGGCTTTGAGATTTGAGACCGGAGAATCCCAGTTCTACCTCTGCCCTCCGTGTATCCCCCGGACCTGTTTGCACAACTGAAGCATGAACGAACTGGACCAGATTATTGGCAAGCTCCCCCGCAAACACCACGTACACACATGTGCACAGAACTTGTCACGCTGTGGGAGCGGGGCAAGGGGCTTCCCGTCAAAATCACCCGCTTCCTTTTACCAACAATATGATCCCGATTTTTAAATTTAATTTAACCTTAGTTTTGTTGCTGTGGCTTCCACGAAAGTCAAAGGTAAAGAAAGCCCAGGGTTCCGTTTCATTGTGAGTTCTCGTTACAGTTTGCCTCTGCTGACACGAGGGGATGATCAGTCCCTTAAAAATGTATTCTCCCTGTATCAGTTTATGGACCTCCATGATTAGATAATGCAAGCCCTTTCTGGAAGCAGATGAGAAAGCTGTGCTTCTCATCATCAACATAGCGGAAGAATGCAAATGTCATCCTGAGATTCCTTTGGCAGAAAAAAAAAATGCTACGTTCGTTGCTGACCCTGCAGACCCCCGCCCCGCAGGCCGGCCAGCCAGCAGCCCGGACCTCACGCTCCATTTCCTCTACCCCCACACTTTGCTCCCTCCTCCGTTCCACGGGGGACACTACCTGTGGTCTGGACTCGCCGGGCGAGAAGTGCGGCCGCTGTCCATTTCCTTCTCTATTTCTTTCTCTTCTTCCCCTAAACTGGGCTCTTTGTAGACAGGCATTCACGTCATTTCTGCAAGCCTTCCTTCAGAGCTGGTGTAAAAAGTGCAGGCATAGGGGCCCCTGGGGGACTCAGTCAGTTAAGCGTCTGACTCTTGCTTTCAGCTCAGGTCGTGATCTCACGGTCTGTGGGATGGAGCCCCGAGTCGGGCTCTGCACTGACAGCACAGAGCCTGCTTGGGATTCTCTCTCTCCCTCTCTCTCTGCCCCTCCACCGCTTTCTCTCTCTCTCTCTCTCTCTCTCTCTCTCTCTCTCTCAAAATAAAATAAACATTAAAAAAACAAGTTTAAAACTTGAAAAAAAAATTTAAGTGCATTCATACGCCACCGAAGCAGAAGGCTGTCCCCACATGTTTGCATGTGGTCCTTTCTACCTTCACAAACACCTCTGGGTTCAGGGACAGTATTCAAGCCCCAAAGAGGAAGTGTGGCGAGCTGTCGGACCGTCAGTGACCCTGTTGCTGACTGCGTATTCCAGTGGGACGTAGCAGACGGTGGCTCAGATCTCCTGATACAACAGGTAACGACAAGGGACCTGAGGCCACCGCCTGGCGGGAGAGTGTCCAAGAACACCACAGCTGGACAGTAGCTCCAGCCACGCAGACAGGTGGTGCTGAGGACCATTGCAATGGGGGAAAGAGAGAACTCTACAACTGGGCTCAGCTCCAGATGCAGCACAGGTAAGTGGGAACCGAGAGTCCAGGAGCAGGGGAGAGGTCAGTGGGCGGAAATGTACTGAGGAAGCCCGAGACGTAAGGGAAGGTTCTGACCCACGCAGCCAAACATGCCTCCTATTGGAGGCAGGCCGGGCCGTCAGACTCCGCCTGGGGGTGGCAGGGTCTGCGGAATCTGACCATCTACATACAGAAGGTGGTCAGACATGGAGCATTTGGAGGATTCTTGCTAAAACCAGACACAGCAGAGAGAAACACGCAGGCAGGCCTAGGTGAAAGGCTGACGGGAAGCTGAGTAGGGTTTGGTCAAGGACGGTGTGCATTGCAGCATCGGCGACTGCTCAGGACGATAAAAGGCGCTTTCCGAGCCGGGACTCTGGCCTCCCCCTCCCGTGCCAAGGTCTCGCCCAGGACCGGGTGCCCACACTACCTTGCAGACGTGGTTACGAGGCACAGGGGTCTGCTTCACTGCACTTCTCGTCTTTGTGTTCGGCACAAGTGTGACACTTTCAGAGGGAAGGGCCCAAGCCCTTCAGGTCAAGGGCGTCAGGGGCCACCTGGAATTGAACCAGCTGGGCTCACGACCCCTCACATCGAGGGGGAGTGCACCCTATGGGGGCGGCTCAGGAAGAGGTGGGAGAAGGGGCCCAGGGGACGGGGGCTTTTGTCTCCCGCCACCGTCCGCACATGGCCTTGTCTGAGGCTAATCTTGTACGAGATCGTTGGTTTCCAGCAGAACACGTGGCCTGACTGTGGGCGCCAGACGGGCTCCCGGATGCCAGAGGCTGACCTTTTCTCACTGGAATATTAGTAGTAGCTTTACAGCTGCTTGCTAAGCTAAGCATTATATACTGGATCTGTTCTATCCACACCACTGCCTCCGTAAACGGCCATCATCCAGAACATCAAAACTCGTGTGTGTCCCTCCCATAATATTTGCTCCAAGAGCATTTATGTCGGCAGTTGCACCCGCCCGGCTGGCTTTCTGGATTTCTTCCTTCTTATCGCATGAAACCACACCGGATGCGACAAACCACATAGGATCCGTAAACACCACGGACCAGACAAACACTACCTTCACTGCTGTTTCTAAAAAGCAGGGAAAGCCTGAGCCATCCAGGACCTGCTGGAAACTGGGGAGGATTCCCACGTTTCTACAGTGATTGTCAGCTGCTTGCAGTAGCCTCTCTAATTCACCTGTTGGCCCTGGTGAGGCCCGGCGGGATGAGTGGTTCCCAGCAAGCACTCGTAAACACCTGTGAAGGGGAATTGAATTTCTAGGTTTTTCCGGGACGACTAAGGGTTTTACTTCTCATGAACATAGCCTCTGAGTAGCCATTTTGGTTTTGCTTTTCTATTATTTTACTTTTAAAGTAGTCTTTATACCCAGCGTGGTCCTCGAACTCACGACCCCGAGCTCAAGGCCTACATGCTCTACCGACTGAGCCAGCCAGGTGCCCACTGAATAGCCACTTTGGACGTGGGTGTTTGTAAAACCGTTGCCCACCCCCTGCCTCGTTAGCAGAAGACCCAGACCTTCTCAGAAACTGACGGCCTCTCTTATGCTCGCGTGGGGTAATGGGGAGTCCAGCAATGGGACTGTTTGCAGCGATGTGGGCTAGAGTTCCAGAAACCGAGGAGGAATGGGGGAGCAGCCCGGCTTGCTGCTTCTGCCCGAGGGGACACCCAGGCGAGCACTCCAGCTTCAGCCAGTCTGTCTGGTCCGCACCGTGGGCTCTGTGCCGTGGTGACTGGGAGGAAGGGGGTGCCTGGGCCTGGCTCTCCTACCCCCACTGCCTTGGTCAGACCTGTGCTGATGCCGTCTACAGAAGTTGAATTTTTGTCGCTCCCCTAGTTACAAGCTACGGCCGTTGTAAATACGTCTCCTCTCCGTGTCTTCCTCACCCTCATATGAGAGGAGAAGAAAACAATTATTTCTATCTACCTAGTTGCTTAGATTCTGGGCTGATGGTTACTATCTCTCTGTGATCTTTGCTGGCATAAAGTTAATTCTCTGAAGGTACTTCTATTACAAAGGAGAAAAAAATTGGGGCACCTGAGTGGCTGAGTCGGGTAAGCGATGAACATTCGGTTTCAGCTCTGGTCATGATCTCACGGTTCGTGGGTTCAAGCCCCCCGTTGGGCTTTGCTCTGTCGATGCAGAGCCTGCTTGGGATTCTCTTTCTCTCTCTCAGAATAAATAAACTTAAAAAAAAAAAAAAGAAAAAAGTTGTAACAGATGTCAACTAGACTCACAGTGATCATTTTGTAATATATGCAAACATCAAATCATTATGATGTACACCTGAAACTAATGTACGTCAGCTATACCTCAACTTAAAAGAAAAAGGCATAAAAGTTAGAGTGAAAGTCTTACATCTCCTGCGCTCCTATGAGATCAGAAGGGAGCCTAGAACCAAGAAAATTCCTGGATATGTCACAGCTGCTTTGTGACTTGCACGGAACTGCACCACTGGAGTAGAATCAGATGTGATGAGATTAGGTGAAGTTCCTTCTTTCAAAGCAGGGCCAAAGGAACAGCTCAGGGGCCAGAGACCGCAAACACTTTTCACTCGGGGGTCTGCGGTCATCCACGGGGTTCTGCTTCAGGCTGCCGGTCAAAGTGACACGTGCTCCGCATCCCAGGGGACAGGAGCAGCGGACGTGCAAAATTTCCATAGAAGCTGGTGGACACGTGCCATGGGCCAGTCCGTCCACGCTCTGTGGCCTCAACAAGTCACGTGGCCATGACCTACTTCCGTGGGGCAGGGGTACCACGAAAGTCCATCACTGCCGCAGGCCGCTGCCCTCCCCTCACTGGCACCCTGTCCCTCCGTCCCACGGCCCCTGACGTCAGGGCTGCGGGCTTTACCACAGCAGGAAGGGTTAGTGCGCATCTAACAAGGCTCTGAACTTACACATCCAGAAACATTATCATGTCCCGAAGCCTCAGCGTTTATGACTGCAGACAGAGGGCTGATGTCATGTCTTGACGTACCTTTCTCTAAGTCAAGAGAGAGGTTTGATGCTTCCTTTCAACTACAGACTCGTCAGTGGGGTTCCTTGACCGATGGTTCTGGCTCTTGCGTTGGCCACTTTTGCCTTAGTTTTGATTCTGTATTCCTTCCTTTTGACCCCAGACCGCTGACCAGTTCCTTTTTGTTGTTGTTGTTGTTTTATTTAAAAAAATTTTTTTTTCAACGTTTATTTATTTTTGGGACAGAGAGAGACAGAGCATGAACGGGTGAGGGGGAGACACAGAATCAGAAACAGGCTCCAGGCTCCGAGCCATCAGCCCAGAGCCCGATGCGGGGCTCGAACTCACGGACCACGAGATCGTGACCTGGCTGAAGTCGGACGCTTAACCGACTGCGCCACCCAGGCGCCCCAGTTGTTGTTGTTTTAAATGCTTATTTATTTATTTCTGAGACAGAGACCATGAGCGAGGGAGGGGCAGAGAGAGAGAGAGAGAAAATCCCATCCCATGCAGCCTCCATACTGTCAGCACAGAGCCCAATGCGAGGCTAGA